TCTCCTTTTATTTATAGCCGACTGTTTGTTTTAATGTAGATAAAAATGTCAATATTCAAAGTGAATTATTTAATAAACTCGATTCGTTACTACCTCTTTTTTGTTTATTCGTAAAGACATTATTTAAACCTAAATTCGTTAAGTGACAAAAAACTCTTCCAATTGGAGACCTCTACAGAACTCTTATTCTGTTAACGGCTATTGAATTAGAATCTTCGAATATTGCTGCAATATTTGGTGTCGCAATAGGCAATAAATCTGTCAAAAACAATGTCAGTTGTTTGCTTTTAGCACCGTGTTCTCACAGGCTACAGCAGTTAGGTCTTCCACTTGAGATGTTTTGTTTAAACAAAAATTATTTATTACTGAAATCGAGTCTGCAGGGCACATTAGTCACATTAGCAAAAAAAAATAACTACAAGATCTGTAACACTTTTACTTTTTATATAAATAGTTGTACTTTAAAATCTTGTTGATTGAATTTTTTGTATATTTGAATGAATATGATGTATGTTTCCATGTCTTAAAATTGACAGTTCTTTGTCAAATAAATAAATAAATAAATCCATGCAATTTAAACATCACTCCAACATATTGCTCCCATTGGGAACATTTTCAAACATTAATGGGTCAATCTTTACGCTTTCTATATACCCGAATATAACTTGCTGTTTTGCTAAAATGCCTCGATAGATAATTTGTTTTATGTTTTTCCTACTCTGTTTTACCAAAAATTTTCATCAAAATTATATAGCTGACATTAAAACGATCGGTCGACAAATGATTCTTAGTACAACTTGTTATCAAAATCGTGGCACTGTACCATATAGCTGTTGTAGGCAAGATTCTTATAACAAAGTTGCAGTGACTGGGGTAGTAGAGGGGAGGGTACAGGGCATACAAGAGTCGGGCTGGCGCGACTTAAACGCTCTAATGCGCTTATTATGCAAATTCTATGATTTGCTGCCCACTTGTGGCATTTCATTTTCCGACCAATTTTCTCACGCACACACAGACATGCATTATCAAATAAATAGCAGGAATACATGTAACTATTTAATGGATTTCATTTGACAAGCTAAAAGCTATATTTATTTTCGAATTCATAGAAATTAAAATTACAATTGTAATTAGATATTTGCATATATGTCCATACACATACAAGTATATACACAAATAAGCATATATCTGTGTGTACAGCTCTCGACGGGACTGCCCAGCTATCTAGCTATCTAGCTGTTTAGCTGTCTGGCCTGTCAAAAATTCTGGTGTGCACTTCAAGCCACAAAGCGGGCGAGAGTGCGATTGGGCTAGAATGCTGTTAAAATATTGCAACACACATACTCGTATTTAGATGCAACAATACTGGTGCCCATAAACAAAAACCAAAACAGGACACAAAACACAAAAACAACAAACTTGCTACATGGAAAGTTTGGCAATTGGAATTAAAATTTTCACATTGTTATTCTTGTTGTTGCTATTGCGGTCCTTGCTTGCCATGTGTGCCATTCACATATAGTATGTATGCATAGTACATACGCATATATGTGTATGTATTTGTATGTAGGCTATTGGAATTTGTTTGCAGGTATCTGTTTCAAAGGCCAGTGCAACAAAGCCAAGCAACACTTTAGAAATGAATATTTAGGCTTTTAAGAATTTAAAATAAAGTGAGACCCGTTTCCTAAGCCTCTGTCAGCGTGAGTTTTGTTTTTTGCGTCCCAACTCCAAGTTGAGCTCGGAGGCAGGTTCAAGTAATTGATAAAAACGTTCACAATATTTAACTTCTAAATCATACGCAGGACATCTTAAATAAAGATTTCCAAAAAAAAAAAACAAACTACATTTAAGTATATTTGAAATAGTGCCAGCAAGCCGAAGTACACGAAGAGCTCCTCACAAAACCCGTACGAATGTACACATCTTTTTTTTTCGAGCACTCTATCTAAATCAATATCTAAATTGCGGCAATTTTGTTGTTGTTCACAGCATTGGCGCAACTGAAGGCTTCTATTGATATATCTCCGCCAATTTCCACTTGTTGGGCGAAAGGGCGGCGATAATCTAAGAAGGGCAAATGGCGACCAAAGTTGTGTCGAAGTGTCTGCGATAATTTAAAATAAAAACAAATTGTTGTTCTGTGTGGCACCAATTGCGAGGAACCAGCTACTTATTTAAACTGTATTTAACTTCAAATAGGCTACAAAGTAACTTGGTTGGACCTCAAACAACAAACAAAGCACCACTATAAAACAAATAAAGTTCGTTAAAATCTATTCTCAATCCAGTTTGGTTTTTTGTTGACTAGGCGATAGTGAAAGTAGCAATAATTGAAGATGTAACTAACTTTTCTTTATCAGATGCAGTCTTGAATGTAATTGACATTTAGTTGCCCTAAATTGTCATTAATCGTTAAATAAATTGAATTATTTAACGAAGAAAAACCAGCAGCTTATTTCGGAGAAAATCTGTTACTTATGTACTAAAACTGACAGATGTCGCTAGTCGTGATTTATAAAAAAAACTAATAATTACCGTCTTAAAATTCTTACAGTGGTCTCATACATATATAAAACAATTAGAAACTGTCGTATTATGGCCAAATCTGCTGGCCGATTCGCAACAAAATGTAGAAGAAAAAAAAAAAACAATTTTGATAGCAGGTCTACTTTATTATATTTCTCAACATTTTCACCACACAAATATTCGTTTGATTTATTCAAGTCATACAAAGTAATTATACCTCCAGCCATTTCATTAGCAAGAATAATATTGTAGAGAAAATATGTTAAATAAAGATCAAACCTAATGATCCGAATTGCATGTCATTCAACAGGACCCTAAATGTTGTGTGCTTGTAAAAGTTAGTTAGTTAGTAGTTAAAAAAAAACCTGAACCAAAAAAAATTGCAAACAATTAAATTAAAGTGATTTTCATTCCAAATCAATTTCGCATTTTCCATTTCAGCAAATGCTTTAAATCAGAATTAATGAGCTAGCAGTTAACCTGCAGCGTGTGCAAAATATTTAACTACTTTTATATAAATACATACATGCTTATGGAGATAACAAAGCCAGCACAAAAAAGTGCGGCTAATAAATTTAAAAAATAAGCACTCTCTCACGAGCTTATTTCCATAAATCAGAAGTGTAAATTATATTTATTTTCTGGAAATAAAATATATATATACAAGTACGTCGTATTTTTTTATAAATCAACTTGTAAATGCGGCAGCATTTGGTTGTACAGCTACATGGAAAGAAGAAGACAGTGGCAGGCATCTGCTAAAGCAATTAACAGCTAAGCAGAAACTTTGACAACTCCCTTCGAAAATACTTAGAAGTAGTAGAAGCAGCCAACTTGGCGTATGCGCAATGTAAAATCGACAAATCGTCAGATTCACTTCCGCGCCATGTCATTTCTGTGGCTCTCCTTGCTGTTGTTGTTGTTGTCGCCGTGTCTCGCTGGCGTCAGCTGTCCTTCGGATTTGGCTCCACATCATCTGGCTGTTGTGCGTTTGTCTGTCTGCCCGTTTGTCTGCCTGTTCTGACTAATTTATATGTGCATATTCAATTAGCCTGAGATCGTTGTGCAAAGTGTCGCGCCTTGAATTAGTTCTAACACCCACACTCACACACCCACACTCGCAAAAACAGAATGTCATATCATTATTTAATTGGCAACTGGTGGTAGGGCTACGCAATGTTGGCAGCCAGCAATGCTTTAATTGTTTGGCTTTGGCTTAAGCTCTCGAAGCAAAATAAAGCTTCGAAATGTTGGAGAAAATTTTCTGATATGTATAAGTATTACATTACTGCTGTGAGTCCAAAAAAAAAATAGTTCAACATACTTTAATCCAGCATTCTACTATCCAATCTACTTGTATCGTTTTGATCAAACACGGACATGTAACATCCAAAAATAAATAAATATAAATAAAGATAATGTGAACCCTAGCTCCGTAATTAATAATTTTTATTAAGAAAAAAGTAAACCGAAATTAGATTTACAATCCTAATAAATTAAATACAAACAAAATTAAAAAAAAACGGTATTCCACTTTTCCCTCCGCCACTCCTTAAATTCTGCATTTTAAATAATCTTTATTGCTCCAAACGTTCCCATGGCAACTACAAGTATAAAATAATAGGTTGTACACGAATAAGCCTTGTCAAAAGCTTACTTGTAGTCTGTACATGTCTATGATATCGGATCTGTCATGTTAATCAATGGTATTATTTTTATTTATGGTTGTATTCCTCTCGTCACCATCGTATTAAAATCGTAGTTGATGTTTTTAAAGATTTCTACAATTACATACAATTAAAAAAAAGCTATAAAATTTAAAAAAAATAAATACAATAGAAAATACTTAATATACATTCTATTATAAGTATAAGGATGCTAATGGCTTTTCTAGTCGGCTTTTAATCTCGATCTTTTCATAGATTGCATAAAAGTTATTAAGCTTATGTTTAATAATTTTGAAAAAATTAAAATATATTGTTCTTAAAACTGAACACATCACTTTGTATAACCCATCGAAACTCGCAAGTGGTATCACCATTAATAGTTTGATAGCTCTATAGTATATCTTTCCCTATCACGATTTGGATACTGAATATGAGCACCAAACGAGTAAGCTTTTATCGTGATTGATTTTATTTGTTAATATTTAATTAAGAATCGTATAAAGTATTTTCGATAAAAATGTTGCTTTAACGATAAATAAGAAGCCACAAATTTAAAAGGGTACTAACAAAATTGATTTGCCTGCGAAAGAAAACTATTGCCAGATATTATTGACATACCGTTTCCAAAATACTTTTGACTTGTAAACAAAATAATAATTTTACGGGAGACTGCACTATCAGCCATGAACAATCAGGACTGAAGCCTTGCAACAACTTCTTTTTAAGAACTTGCTTTAATGTTGCTCACCTTCTCAACAATTCATTTCATCGCTTCTCTCTCGCTATCTTCTCCTCTACTTGCAGCAGCAACAATCGTTGAGCGATACAAGTGCGGACAGCGGAAAAGGTGCCAAGTTTTTATTGCGAAAACGCAAATCGAAGAAGACAACAGCCGCCGCAACAACAGTTGCAGTTGCAGCTGCAGCCACAACAACAACAACAACAACATCAGGAACAGGCAGCAGCGAGCACAAAGGTAACTTGCTTTTCGAGCATACAGCAAGAAAACAAAAGCAGCAACAATAATAAAAACAACAACAGCAGCAACAACAACAACAACTATAACAGCAACAATGGGAACAGCACGAGGCAGAAGAATAAAAGTCCAAGTAAAGTGCCGTTGCAAATGGCTTAATAAAAATGGCGGCAAGTGAATTTTCGCAGTGGCCGGTGGCCGGTGGCCCGTGGTCCCATGGCCCATGGCAGAGAATAAAAAGAAAATGCATTAAATCGAAATAGGTGGCGCAAAAAAGTTTAAATTGCAATCATTTGTTGTTTGTGTTGCTTTGTTATTGTTGCAGTTTGTTTTTAATTAATTGCAATTTGCTTGCACTTACAACTAATGCGCTGAGCTTCTTCTTGCTCCTTCTTCTTTTCGATTCTCCCACAGCCAAGAAAAAGGCACAGCAGCACCAGCAACAGAAACAGCAACAACAACACAGGCAGCCCACCATCAAGTGCGTCCTGGTCGGCGATGGGGCTGTTGGTAAAACCAATTTGATCTTGTCCTATTTGGAGAACCGCTTCAACTCGGAGCATGTGCCAACGGCATCAGATATTTATAACGGTGAGTGTGCAATTACAGCTTTCAGCTCCAGATACAGATACAGATCCCGATCCCACACGCACACGCTCACCCGCAACGACATCCACTTTGGATTCGGTTTCGTTAAAATTTGTTCATTATTTTTGGAGAAATTCGTGTTGCCGTTTCTGAAAATTTTGATTGCGCAATTCCGCACACACACACACAGAGACACAAGCGTGTGCGTCCTTATTTGCACACTACAGTGCAAAAGGATTTAGATGATTATATCTGGTTTTTTTTTTTTTTTTTTGGGTAAAGTCTGAATAAAATGACGGAATTTAACGGAAGAAATATTCCGGTAAAATCCCTCTACTCAACGTTCTTAGAAATATAAAGCTTATTACAAATAATATACAAATATGTGGGCTTCTACAGAGAACTTTTGACACTGATGTAAATATTCAAATTTCCATTTCCATTTCTTTTTGGGATTCATAATCCAACAAATAACGCGATTTTATTCTTGAAATTGTGCGACTGGCTTACAAACTTACGTTCTACTTATATTTTAGTATATTTTATGAAATGATGCTTTATTCCAAAGAATTGTTTAGGATTGTGCAGGGAGGAACTTTGCATAACCGATTGAAAAATGTTTGAACTTGTAGAAGAGACAAGTGTCCGACATAGACCAGGTTGGTCCCTAATGTTGTCGGTTCTTGGAGATCCGTTTGCAGAGCGCTTCATTAATCCGCTAACAGCGTATTATTTTTTAGCAAAAACGAGCCTTTGTTTCAAATATTTCAGCGAGGCGGAGATATTTTTCTCTATGTGTATGTTAGAAGTGGTGTGCAGGGTGTTCCAGCTTTTCTATTGATTCTGGTTCCCTGCATTTTCTGCATCAAAAGCCCGTTGTAATGCCCGTCCTCCTGCAATAGATGGAACAAATGGAATACGCTATAATAACAATATATAAATCCTTTGTAATCTGATTGTAGTCCACGCCCAGTTTATTAATTGATATTGATGTATCCAATACCCAACTGTATCATAGCTTTTCATATAATGCCCAGATTGATGATCAAATGCTGTTTCTGCACAAACCTCACTGTTCGAATGAACTTTAAATATTAATCATGTCCGCATACTTATGGCGAGTAGTGTGTATTTGTGTTCTATACGCACACGCACACACCCCTGACTTTTGCTCATTTTCACTTTCGCGCCGCTTTTCGCCTGCGGTGCCACCTTCGACTGAGCTTTTCAACAGGTTTGTTTAACGGCGCTGTTTTCTTTTTTTTTTTTTTTTTGTATACCCTTCACTGAAAAGTGTACGGGTGTGTTGCTGTTGTTGTGTAAGTTTGTAATACTCTGAACGAAAAATGGACGACCACTACACTACTCCCATAGTTTTCGGACTATCGCGCGTAACTTATTTCCTGACAATGTTGTATAACTGTCTTAGTACCGATATCGCTTATAATAACTTCCTGCATGGAAAGCCTGTTTGCTTATAAAGATGTGGAAACTAAACTGTACTCCAAAATGAATACTTCAGTATATATTCAGTATATATTATTTTATATAGAATATAAAAATGCAAGACAAGTTAAATGTGTTCGTAGGGTATAAGCTTTGGCGCAGACAAAGATAACTTTGCAGCTCGCCTTTTGTAAAATTTTCTTTTGAGCACACCCATTTGCGAGCTCATGCCGTGTTATTACCTTCATGTAGCCTCGGCTTCGATTAATGCGGACGCCTCGACGACTGCCTCCTGAAATCGTGAAATGCGCCTTTGCCTGGGCACGTATATGAATTTTTCATTTTGTTGAAAACCAATTTGTGAAATCTTTACTGAGTTTCCGTATGAAGGATGCTCTAGGAAGGCAGGACGACTACCAAGCGGAAGTAGGCGAAAATGATGTTGCAGGCAGCAAGGCAGTGAGCAGAGCATCGACAAACTGCGGCTGTAGCTGTAGCTGGAGCTGGAACAGTCTCTGGCCTCATCCTTGTCAACGATGGGGCAGTGGAAAACTGACGACGAGTCTTGCCTACCCTGCCCCGCCCCGCCAGCCCGTCAGCCAGCCAGCCAGCCAGCCTTATTTGACTTTCTGTTTCGCTGTTTCCGCATTTGCGCGCACTCATGTAGGCACATGTGTGTGGCTGTGTAGGTGTTTTTTTGTATTCTTTATATAAACTGACAAAGAGTGGAAAAATAACAATATAGAATAGATAGAAATAACAATAGTAGTAATAATAATAATGGTAAAAGTAAAAGTAATAATAATAATGATATACGCAGGTCAAAGTCCAGGCGGTACGACCGTTAGGCATTGCTTCGCCCGGCCGATCAACCCGCTTATATCGCGCTCCTGTCCCGCTCCTGTTTCCTGAGCTTGCCCATAACGGAGGCCGCAAAGTTTGCGCTCGCAGCCCACGACTCTTCGTTAGCGAGCATGTTGGCCACAAAGTTCGACGCCGTTGGGGGTGATCCGGTTGTCGCCTCCAGTCTCCTTCTGTCCGCCCCAAACCTTGGGCAATGGAAGGCTACGTGGTTAGCATCTTCCGGTATCCCTCTGCAGGCCGGGCATTCCGCACTGGAGTCGTGCCCAAATCTATGAAGATAACTTCTGAAGCATCCGTGGCCGCTCAGAAGTTGGGTCAGGTGGAAGTCGACCTTGCCATGTGTTCTGCCGATCCACGATGCTACGTTAGTGATTAGCGTGTGGGTCCACCTGCCTTTTGACGAGGCATTCCATCGCTCTTGCCACTTGCTTACCGTCGTACGTCTAGCCGCCGCCCGCGCGTCCCTTCGAGGCCGCCCGGCAGCAAAACTGTGAAGGTAGCTCGCTTCCAGGACGAGGAGGTCGATAGGTGCCATCCCCGAGATCACCAGTACGGCATCGTCAGAAACCGTCCTGAATCCACTACAGACACGGAGAGCGCCAAGACGGTATGTAGCAGCGAGGTCGCGGATGTAGCTCCTCTTGTTCACCGCGGCAGCCCATATCGGTGCCGCATACAGCATTATTGATCTGGTTACGCTCATAAGCAATAACCTCCGACCTTGCTTTGGGCCCCGAGTGTTGGCCATAATTCGGGCTAGCGCCCGTGTGGCCTCTGCAGCTTTATTATTCGTCTGCTCCAGATGCTCACGAAAGCACAATCTCGTATCCAATCTAACCCCAAGGTAGTTGATTGAACGTTTGGACCGCACGAGAGTACCGTCAATTGATATGTGCGCTTGCTCTACCGCCTTGCGGCTGCTGATTAGCACTGCCTCTGTTTTGCCCGCCGCTAGTTCCAGGCCCACGGTGTTCAGCCAGTCAATGATCGACCGGATGCAGCGGTTGCACGCGTCTTCCACGGTTTTGATGTCCTTCGCAACGCCTACAATTGCGACGTCATCTGCGTACCCCACTAGCTCCGTACCGGGTGGGAGTTGGAGGCGGAGAATGCCGTCGTACATGACGTTCCAGAGCAGCGGCCCTAGGACCGACCCTTGGGGGACGCCAGCAACAACATTGAGGGATTTGGTGCCAGACAATGTGTGAAACCTAAGTATCCGATCGCTAAGGTAACTTCTAATGGAGCGCACCAGGCACGTGGGTACGCCTTGATCCACCAGTGCGTTGAGAATGCATCCCCAGTCTGCCGAGTTGAATGCATTTTTGACGTCGAGGGTCACCACCAGGCAGTATTCTTTGGCACCTCCCTTCCATCTGCTACCTGATATTGCCTTCGACGCAAGATCCACCACTCTACTGATCGCGTCTATGGTGGACCTCGATTTCCGGAACCCGTACTGATTGGGGGATAGACCGATTGCTGTTTCAAGCCTCGAGCAAAGCAGTCTCTCCAGCACCTTACCGATCGAGTCCAGGAGACAAATCGGCCTGTAGGATGAGGGGTCTTCGAGTGGTTTTCCCGGTTTCGGCAGTAGAACCAGGTTCTGCACCTTCCAGCAGGCAGGGAATATGCCTTCCCTGATACACCTTCCGAACAGAGTAGCGAACGCCCCAGGGTGCATACAAAGTGCCAGTTTGAGTGCGCGGTTGGGTATAGAATCCGGGCCCGGCGCTTTGTTAAGCTGCAAGCTACGAGCAGCCAGCAGCACTTCCTCAGTGGTGACGTCGCCTAAGGCAGGCGATAACTCGTTTCTGGTAGGGATCATCGCAGGCGACTCAGGTCTCGAGGGGAATAGGGTATTAACGATTCGTGAGAGTTTCTCAGCATCCATGGGAACATTGCGTCCGCCAGCGTAGATTCGCTTCACAATGAGCTTATATGCTTTCCCCCAGGGGTCGTGCTCTGCTGAGTCGCACATCTCGAAAAAGCATCGCCTCTTGCTTGCTGCTATCGCCCTTTTCAGAGATCGCCTAGACTCCCGATAGGCATCCTGTCTGAGGGGCGACGAGGATGTGCCGCGAGCTCTCTGCGCCATTCTTCTTGCCCTGATACAAGAGCTTCGCAGTTCCGCGATTTCGTTGGTCCACCAGTAAGCTGGTACGTGGTGGCGCCTATAGGGGCCACGTCTGTCCATGCTGGCGTCGCATGCCGCGCGGATTTGGGCCACGGCGTCCATAGCCATAACTTCTGGATCACCGGAGAGCCGGAAGCCGCTGAGGGCGCTTGCGAAGGATGCTGGACGGAAGGAATCCAGCTTGTATGCCACGTTGGCGGACGGTGGATTCAGCCTGTTGCGGGAGGTTGCTCCGACTGTGATTGTGATGGCCACATGGTCGCTTGCCGTATAAGCGTCGCTAATGGACCACATGATCTGGCTGTGGAGGGAGCTACTGGCATACGACAGGTCAATTATGGATCCGCTGCCTGCCCTGCTGAATGTGTGCTGTGACCCGGTATTCAGCAGCGTCAGATCCAATACTGAGAAAGCTTCCAGTAGAGTTCGGCCTCTCGCGTTAGTGGTGTTGCTGCCCCACTCAACTGCCCATGCGTTGAAGTCTCCGCCAATAATAACACGGCTACGTCCCCTGGCGTCGTCTACCAGAGCGTCGAGGACAGAGGCGAACTCCGAT